CCAAAGAGAAATTAAAAATTGAAATCGCATCATATGACCCCTTTAAGTTGTGTTTGAAAGCTGAAAAAAACAATCCAGTCAGACAGTTTTCAAAATAAACACTTTCAAAATTCTCTTTATTCCTAGATGTTAAAAGCAGCCATAGTTCATGCCTTTCAGAAATACTCAGTCTGCCGATTACAATCGGTGTACTTCAGAAACAGAAAAAAATGATGGGGATAATGAGGGACATATCCACGGCCCAGCCGAGCGTGCTCCATTGCAGGAGAGCAAGAGGATCTGCAGGTTTTGCCTTTCATGTTGCTGGCTGTGTGGGTTCCTGGCGTGCTGATTTGTGACTTAAGATAAAAATCACATTGCCAGGGATTACCACACAACCGCCACTCGGACGGCTGCTATGGCAACCAGAGGCACCGTCTTAACGCAGCTCAAGAAATAAAAATAAAAGAAGACATGGCTTTTCTCTGTGGGCCTCCGACAGGATGACAAGAAAATGCAGAGGAGGAATGCTTCCCTGCCGACGAGCGGCGTGGGTGAACGAGCGTACGCACGAGTGTCGAGGAGAGACTCTCTGAGCAGGCGCAGAGCTTAGCTGATTGGTGAACAGTGATTGAACTCTTTGTTCACAGTGGCTAAGTTCTGCACCCGACAAGAGGATGACAGATGGATTTTCTTCACCTCGTTACAGACGTGAAGTGTTAAAAGCGTAATGATTATACATTCACGTGTCAAAGAAGAAATGGAAGACGGCTTGATTCAAAGAGAGAAAGTAATCGGAGGGTGTCTGTAGTTTAGTTTGTAGTTTAAACACGAATATAAAACTTCCTTGTTGCACATCGTCATCAGTTAGGTCTGTAATTACTAGAAAGCGTTTCCAACCAATTTCATTGTTAGCGCCAATCAGTTGACTAGTGACTAATCACTCAAGAAAATTACATTGTGACTAAGGATGTACATCCTCTACAAAAAATTATACTAATGTTTGAAAATTTGGAGTCCGTAATGTTTTTGGGTTTTTTTGGACTGATTCTTGTGTTTAGTCAGGATGCATTAAAGTGACAGTATCCAGTAACAGTAGAGACATTCACATTGTTACAAAAAAATTATTTTTTTCAAATAAATACGGTTCTTTTGAACTTTCTATTTATCAAAGAATCCTGGATGAAATGTTTGCTGAAAAATATTAAGCTGCACAACTGTTTTTTAACTGATAATAATAATAAATGTATCTTGATCAGCAAATTAGAATGATTTCTGAAGGATCATGTGACACTGAAGACTGAACATTTGGTATCACAGGAATAAATTAAAATATAAAAGTTATTACTGTTTTACTGATCAAATAAATGCACAAGAGAACTTCCTTAAAAAAACATTTATAAAATCACACCAACTCCAGTCTTTTGAATGGTAGTATAAATGAACAGGCTAATTTTTTTATAACTTTTACGGTTAAAAATTATCATAGTAAATTTCTTTAAATTTATTTTTAAAGGTGTTGAATGTGTTACAAAAGTGCTTTGACCTCTGTTTTTCATACGCTTATTTTCTGCCCCACTGGCTCATTTCCCAGTTGCTTCATCAAAACATTTTCCAGCATATGGTGCTTTCAGATTATACTGATTATTCATATATCATTGTACAAACTTTCTTTGAGGGTTTCTGGAGTGAAATTAAATTTTATCATAGCAGTGCAGTACGACGAGGTTGCCTTCGTAATGAGCAGATTGTGAGATCCCTTTCACAATGAGCAAAACAAACTCTTGCCGAGAGCACTGGGGTTGGCATGATAGATGAAGAGTGAGTCTGAGATGGTGGAGATGGCTGTAATGAGGACTGGAGAGAAGCAGACTGAGCTAATGGAGCCCACAGTGAGATGAGCCCAGGAATTATCATATTCTCCTCCTCCTCCTCCTCCTCCTCCTTATGCTCAAGTCTCACTACATACCTCTACTGTGCGAAAAACAAAATGGTTTTGCTCTTTCCTACTGCTGGGCCACAAAATCCACATGAAATCCAGAGGAATTCTGGGAAACGTGGACAGGAGGAGCGAGACACGGCCACACAGACCAAACATCTGCATCTCTGGACTGTTAAAACAGCTCCACTTTTAGCTTTGATGGGTGAAATATGAAAGACAGCAATTGAGATGGGAAGTTGTGCTTAAAAGGACCTCTGCAGATCGAGTTAGCGTACGGCCAGCATGCCGTCTTCTAAGTCATGACAGATGTAGGAGTTAAATATAAAGCTAAGGAGAAGCTAGCCATAAATGACTATATTTAGAAGCTGTTTAAAGATGCATTACCATCCATGGCTAGTAAAAATGGAGTTAGTTGCACGGGCTGTATTTAAAATGTCATTAGGAGATATTTTGTGGGAAATGAAGTGCTAAGCACCTTCAGCTGAAGCGTATTATCCCATATCTGATCCTTCCATCAAGTGGCCCATGCTGAACGTGAGTCATATGTGAGCGTGTGATAGATGGATGGACCTGGCCTCCCGTGCCTACTGAGCTGATTACAGTACTGCAGAAACACTGGCTCAGTTCAGCAGGAACAGGAGTCTGGTCCACAGACCCCCCAACTCATCTCTGCTTCTTCAGGCTCATCCACACAAAGGCATCTCAGTACAATTTAAGTGTGCCTAGCTTGGAGACGACTTGTGAAAAGCATACATGTTATTGTTAAATAAAAGTGAAACTATTTCAAAAATAGTTTCTGTTCATTGAAATGAAGCTGAAAACATACATTTGAAGAAAAACGTAAAAATTAGAAATGTTGCCTTGCTAACTGTCTGAAATAAGTTATTAAAATTCCCGTCTAAAACTATTTTAAATAGCATTTTATTATTTTATGCATGCAGATTAATTATTTGTATTCATTGAGAAAGGATGGATAGAAGGATGGATGGATAGTAATTTTGATTTGTCACTTCATGGCCAACTGAAAAGTTATAGATAACTACTGAAAAGATGTGTTATAGATAATTTTTATTTAAAATCATGCAAAAAATACCCAAATAAAAACAAGGGGTTCAGACACATTAAAATAGAAGACGTTCATATTCCAAACAAGAATCTAATATCTTTGCTGCATTTGAAGACAAGTATGATGCTACTTATTCTTAAAACATTTTAAATCAAATAAGAAATTATTTTTAATACATTTTTATTTCCTTTGCATCCGTTACCATTACATTTTTAAATCTTTTTTATGTAAATGTGAACTTCCTTTGTGAATGAAGTGTTATATAAATAAACTTGCCTTCATACATGATTTCTGATGTCATGACCAGGTGTACTGACTGTGGCTCTTGTCTTTTGCAGGTTTCAGATCTGTCTGGTCTTCTGTCACATGTTTAACTCGGGGAAATCAAGCAGGATCTGACTGTCTACTGCTCACTGATGCTCAAAGAGAACAATGAATGGACTATTCAAAAAACAAACAAAAAAATCATTGCACATTTAAGCTAGAAGACATAAAGACTAAAATGTCATTTTGTATTGTCAGAAATACAAACGAAAACTGTACACAAATGTATGTGTCATTCTGAAATCTACCTGAATGTCAGCATTTTCTGAACCCATTCACCCCGTGCCCACCGTCAAGTTCCAGAGACCCAGAGATCAGATAGCAAAAAATGTTTGTTGTAGAAATATGTGCTGATGACCTATGTTTGCACACTAAACGTCACCTTATCCTCACAGTTGGTGTTTTTACAACACCACACATTCAGCAACATTTCTGTGACATTTTCTTTGTTAGAATTGTGGTCCCATATAATAGCCATTTATTTGTTCAACAAATAGTAAATATTAAGTAATTAGGAATATAACTAGTTGCAGTTATACTAGTATTAATGGAATAGTTCACCCAAAAATGAGAACTTGCTGAAAATGTATTCACCCTCAGGCCATCCAAGATGTAGATAAGTTTGTTTTTCATCAGAACAGATTTCAGATTTGGAGAAATTTACGTTTTTAACTTTATACCGTTGCTTTTGGCTAAAATTGGGGATGGACTTTTTCATTGGAAGAAGTGTTATAAATTATGGACTTATATTTTGGCCAGAAATGACCATTTAAAGTTAAAATGCCTTTATTATGGATTTGGTTCTTACAAACATGCAGCTTATCACAAGACATAATTGATGGAGTTGTGATTTATGTGAATTACTTGATTATTGTGATGCTTCTATCAGCTGTTTGGACTCTCACCCTGTGAATCCATTGGTGAGAAATGATATAATGCTAAATTTCTTCAAATCTGTTCCAATGAAACAACATTTTGGAAAGCCTGATGAGTAAATTCAACAAATTTTCATTTTTGGGTAAACTATTCCTTTAAATCTAATTTAACTGCACTTCAAAAGAGAATAGTGATATTCTTATAATTTAGCAAGGCCGTAAATGCAGTATGACCCAGTTTTGAGTGATAAACACGTGCTTGAGTGGTCCGAATAGGGAAAACGCTCCAAGGAAATGGCCCTACTGGGAGACAGAGACCCACGGAGAAGCACTAGTGATGATAGAGTCTAGAAAGTACAGTACACAGAGACTAAACTATTCAAGAGGCCCTGTGCTGGGAGTTCACACACACACACACACAGATTTGAGTGTTCATGTGGCGAGAAGGACTCCGGCATGCTCTCCTGTCAAAAGAGTGTGTGGGAGGACAGTAAGCAAAGACAAACGGCGTGTTAGCTAGACGGAGCTCCGCAGTCAAACAACAAAGACTCCAAATCCAAACACTCAGGAAATACAACCGCAGATCTGACAGCAGTCACATCCCTGGTAATTTACTTTCTCTGATTCATGTTTGATGTCATCCAAACACAGATTGAAATACATGTGTTCCTTTTATTTGGCTCAATACATCAAGCGCGGAGGCCCCTCTTGGGTTTAGGGGGAGAACACCCACTGCTTTTAAAGTTTAAAACGGCAGCTGGGTTTCTCCTCTATAAATACCATATCGTCCCACCCAGCTTTTCGGTGCCTAACTGAGCCACGCCAGGATTCCTTGTCCTAATAAATAGTTTCAGCGAATGCTCGAAGCTAGGGTTTTTTATGTGAGGCTCTCAGGTTTGGAGGAGGGTGTCGTGAAGAGTCCTCAGCCTGGAATGAACCCTGTCATCCTGCGTAGCAGCACTGTTTAGTCTGCAGCGTATTGAGGCAAGGATCCACAGTGCCTTGCGCTTCACAGCGGCCTCAGTCAGCACCTGCCAGCATCACAAAACACACACATTTGGATAACAATTTCCACTAGACCAGTTATTGAGATGAGCCAATGAAATGAATTATTCATATTCCAAACCCTATATGCTGTTATTTTTTTTCAGTGGAACACAGAGAAGAATTTTTTAAAGGCGCTAATTTAAAACCTTTTTCTTAAAATTCTCATACAGGATTGAGCCTCATAATATTTTTCTATAAAAAGTTTTAATTTTGTAGGGTGCAGGTCACACAAGATGATTCACGAGGTGGAAAAAATGGAAGACAGAAAATCTTATGGAAGCCCATTTCTGCCACAAAAGAAAAATAAATAATTATTTAGTAAATCATAATAACGACAATAATGAAAGTTGAAATTATGAAGTACTAAGTAATAATTATGGCATAATAAAAAAAAACAAAAACAAATTATGACAAATGTTACATTTATGAAAAAATTGAAATTATTATTTAAAAAGTCTTTTTTAAAATCTAAATTACGACAAAAAAACAATTGAGAAACGGTCAATTATATCAAAGAAAGCCGAAATTTAGAAAGTCTTTTAAAACTTTTAAAATCTCATTATGACTTCTAACTCAAAATTATGATTACCAAAGCACGTTTTTTTATTTTCTCACTAGTATCAGTGATAAATTATTCAATGGAAATCTTCCACTTCCAGTGAGCTGCTAACGCAAGAATCACTGTGATCAGATCATTGAATCATTCTTTTTTTTTTTTTCAATCGATGAATCATTCTTCTGGACCAGTTCAAACTCACTGACTTGAGTTAAAAGCTTTCTGGGGGAAAGATTGCCAATAGTGAATAATGATTTAAATCTCAGTCTAATCCTCACACAAATCCATCACATGCTTTCATAAGACTTGGACAAGTCGTGTGAATTACTTTTATGATGCTTTTTGGTTTCTGTTTGCCAGTGTCAGAACTTGACAGCCCGTGGTATCTATGAACTTTGATTGAATGGGAAACACCTGCATGAAGATTATTCAAAATATCACATTTTGTGTTCCACAGAATAAAATCGTATGGTTTTAGAACAACATGGGGGTGAAAATTATGATATTTGGGTAAACTATACCTGTACTGTATGTAAACAAAGCTGAGGTGACTATTAAAACTCAGCATTACCTTGCCATAAAGGAGCAGCTCTCAGCATTTAAGCTGTTGGGTGTAAACTTGCTTTTGTACAGTGTGTGAGAGAGACTGAAACGCTTTTGATTTTAAATGTGTCGTAAACAGCCGTCAGCCTATTTTATTCTGTTGTTCTCTGCATACCACAAGAACTAGCATAGGGTCAATAAAGGCACTGATGACAAGTTAATTGGGCAGCGCACAGCCCTAGTCTAGTCTTGAATAGGCCACCTTTTTTCGCATGAGCAAACCCTTGGCATTTGAGGACGTGAGTGTTATTTTACAATGTGTTGAATCTGAATCGGTGAAGACCTCACCTTGTCAGTTATTTCAGTGATAATGCTAACAGGTCCGTGGGAAAAGACGGTGAAGTTTAAAAACAAATGCAAAACGAGGTTTGCTGAAAGGGAGGAGGACAGGAGCTCTTTCACAGCACTGAGGTGTCTAGGAGGGGGAGGACGAGTGAGAAACAGCATCCTTAGATGAGTCCAGGCTTCTCTGGCCACTGCCTGAGATTAAAACAAAGAGAAGGAAGCCATCAGTAATTTTCCAGTCTGCTTCACTTTGCTGTTTTTAACTTGTGACGTAAGGTTGACTGACTTCAGAGCCATTATTAGATCTCTTACGGTTTGTTGGGACCTCTGGTGCCCTCTGTTGGTGGGGTGGTGGAAGAACGTCAGAAGCCACAGCAGCGAATCGGCGTTCTCAGGCACTGCCAGAACAAGCAGCTCAGCAGCTGTGTCCACCCAATACCCACACTGCACCAGCAGGAACCAAGCCTCAAAGACAGCCTGATACGCCCTGGAAAATCACCATCCACCCAAACACACAAAGACAGAACCTAACAATTATTTACTGATACATATGGCTAACAGTATGAAGAGAGCTGGAGAAACAAGAAGGCTGAGTGAGTTTAAACAGAGAAAGAGAGATTTGCACTGACGGCTGCTCAAAATAAAGAGCTTCTTGAGACAGTGAATTCTCAAGTTCTGGTTTATTCTCTGATTATATCCTGATGACACCTGCAGCTGACACTCTCACTACTTCGAATGCTTACAATGCATGTATTTTCCTAGAACTGTACACGACACACATGCATCAGGCCATTTTCATTTTCAGGCTAAATGAAAAACATATTTTATACTTATGAACATATATTATAAATGGACTTTGAAGAGAGAGTGAAGAGATCTGCAGCACAAGGGGGTTCATGAATTACAACCATTTGTCATTCAGGACTACTTCTTGGTGTGGACACACACACTTTTTCCTGGACAGTGACTTTTGAAAAGCAGCTATGTACTTCAGGTGAAAACCTACAGTATCACTGTTTATTCGGTCATCTGTGTCCAAATACCCACCTGCATCAAGCCTGAGCTGGCTAGAAACATATAGGATTACTGTGTGGGAAATCTCTGTAGTAACAGCACTGCTGACAATAAGAGAGCAATGAAGAGGAGGGTGTCTTGAAGCTCATCTCACCTGACATCTCCCCCCGCCTCCTCATTCTCCGTCACGCTCTGAAGTAAACTTCTGATCCAGCTCAGATGATCCAGCCAGGCTTCCCTGGGAACCTCTGAAAGGGGGCGAAATGAGAAATGTAGAAATTAGACACTTCTGGAATTGATTTCCAGGTGGATGAGGTGAACTTAGCAACTGATAACAAATCTCAAGTTGAAATGAACTGACCCTTCTCTAAGCCTTAGAAATGTTCCTGACCAAACTTACCTCAAGAACTGTTGCCATCTGCCATACTATCATTCATATTATTATATCGTATTTCTTTTAAACCATTTTTAACACTGTATATTTATGTTTAGTCAAAATTTTCATTAAATATAATAAAACAACAATGGACCCCATCGACTATCATTATATGAAAAAAAGTTTAAAAAAAATTGGTTTAGAACAACAAGTAAATCGTGACTAAGTATTCATTTTTTGATGAAGTCAAGAATCATCTCATATATAATGTTTCCACAAAATATTACGCATCACAACTGTTTTCAACACTGATAATAATAATAAATGTTTCTTGAGCACCAAATCAGCATATTAGAATGATTTCTGAAGAATCTTGTGACACTGAAGAGAAGACTGAAGTTACAGGGGGAAAAAATACATGGTAATATATTAAAATAGACATTTGTGAATATTTCTGAGTGAAAATGAAAACAATTCGCAAACAAAAAATGCAATCTCAAATTACATTTTCTGTCCATTCACAAATCTGGGTTTGGAATGACACTAGAGTGAGCAAATGATGAGAAAATGTTCATGTTTGGATGAACTGTCTCTTTAAGAATCATGGCCTATCTTTAGCCTGATGAGGTAAACAACTAAGCTCCAGCATTCATGAGTCTCCTTTTCAGAGACAAAGGTCCCCCTTCACGTCAATCATTCCATGTACAATGACAATTGAACCAGTGCAAACAAATAATCTTAAAAAGAGCCCCTGGCCCAGCAGGCACCTGAGGTCTGCAGCTATTCTTCTGTTGTGCTGGTCATAGAATAGGTGGCATTGTGAGGATATCCTCTGGAGTTCAGGAGGCACTGAAGAGCCCCAGGTCCTTTGGGAGCCAAGCCAGAGATAGATATCAGAGGACCGGACTGAGGCGGGCAGGGTGGGTACAGGAGGAAGGAGCCTGTTTGTTTGGGACTACTCTGATGGAGGGAGGGAGATAAGGCCAGGCTTTGGAGACGTTTAGATGGTGAAGGTTTAGGATGAAGGATTCAAATTAATCTCTAGCAACCCGCTGAGACAATACTGAGTCAAGTTCAGTCAGAGTGAGGTAATCGTTTTGAATAAAAGGGGGTTGTGGCTGGTGTCCGAGTAAAAGTATTGTAGTTTGCTAGCGATCTGATATAATTAGACTACACTATGTAACTCTGTCTCCCTTTACTCTAGGAAACATGCACAATTTCTCTCCTATGACCATATATTTAGAAATGGCCCTCCATACGGCTGCCTGTGACTGACATGCATGAGAAAAACAATTTGTTTTTCATGCTAAGAAACTATTTAAAGCAAGTATGTGAAAGTAATAAAGTAATGAAAACAATGGACGTATTTTTTATATGGCAAGTAAATTAATTTTATGTCAAAGCAAACTGATTAAGGTTCAAAAGTATGTCCAAATCATAAAACCTGGTGATTTTTCAGGTTAAAGATCAGCCATTTATTTTTAAATGAAATCTTTTTACAAGGAATAGTGTTATCTTATAATCCTTTAGTATCTGTTTAATTTCTTTTGAATTTGTTATTTTCAGTATTATTTATTAGTAGGCATTGCTTTCTACAACATTTGTGTAATTCTGAGCCATGTTGAGTTTTTTGTTGTTTGTTGTTGTTCTCGCTGGTTCTCTTTTGTTTCTTTGTCATATATTAATATTTTCTTGTCATATATTTTCATGTAATATATATTGAAAAGCTCAATATCTATAATAAAAATATGCCCCAGAATTGATAGCTGTGGGGTAAAGTGTGCCAGTTGTGCTGGTAAATTTTCCAGGCTGGTTTATGAATATTTTTTCAGAAAATGTGAATAATACACAGCAATCTCATACAAAGCCTTTTTGCTGCACAGAATTAAATTGCTTTGTATAAAAAAAAATAATTTAAGGCCATGTTTTATTTTTAATGTAAATCATTTATATATAACAATTCAACTTACTTCTTAACATGACAGTTTACGCCTATAGTTTTTGAAAAAAGTAAATTTTTCTTGATATACACCCTGAAATATTTAACTTCTACTTGACTAGAGGCCAACTTATATAAAAAGTTACACTGCTTACACGTCTCTCCCCTACAAATATATGTGCTATAAACTACTGAGGCACCATATCATTAGACAATCTTCATAAATGATGTTCTTTTGTTAAGTGAAGGTCTGAATTTCTCAGAGATAGTAAGAGGTGCTGTACCTGATGGTGCTGTCAGTAAAGGCGCAAGTAAACAGGACGTCACGTTTGGGAAGAAGGCTCTGAGTGGTAGACGATCCTACAAATCATATATGCACAGAGATATCACAACTCCAAATTTGAAATACCGCTTTTGTGTCATTTGAGAGCCACTAGTGGCACCAAACAGACTTGTCAATCATATGAAACTCCACAGACTATGCATTACTATTTCTCTCTCGTTTTTTCTTGTTTATGGCCTCTGTAGAACTCCATATTTTTGGAAACGATCATTATTTTTGCGATTCAGTTTGGTGCAGCTAGTGCCAGAGAAATTACACATTCACCTTCATGAAGTCAGCTTGTACCTGGGGTTTCTGTCCAGTCAGTCTCTGGAGGAAGCAGGCAGTGAAAACCTGTATGAGGGCTCTCACGGCCAGGTTCTCATCAATCTCTGTCAGCACATTCCTACACACACACGCACATAATCTCACATTGTTTCTGAAACGAATTTGCTGTGGAGTAGGTAAAACGGCCTGATTTACTTTAACATTTTAAATTCTAATAAGTCATCATTTGGGATGCAGCAACATGGACGTTTTAAATCAATATTTATTAAAAAATGGCTGTTATAATAAATATATACTGTTGTGTCCATTTAAAAAAAAAATACACTAATGCTTTAATCCATAAATTTGTACATGCTTCAAATAAGACTTCAGAACATTTTAAGAGATGGTTAACCATTTAGTACTCTTTTAAAGCTTCGAATAGCAGCTTAAATCAGAATAATAATAAAAATAATATTGGCCAGTACTAATAAATCACTGATAGATTATTATATTATGTTATATTATATTATGGGGCTGTTGAATAGTTGAATCTGACTGGTTGACGTACGTTCTAAGGTGTGCAATTATTTTCAGGCAAACGCTCAGCTAAAGTAGTTCCAGGCAGGTCTTGACCGCATTACATGTCTATATCACTTCACCAAATGATTTCAGTTATTTTAGAGGTCTTTACAGCCTAAAGCAGCAAAAGAACCAAAACCCACAATGACACTGACCAAGCAAATAAATATAGTAAACAATAAGATAAAAATGACTAATTATTTCCATGTTTATGCCACAAAATTACGTTTTATTACATACGGAAAGCACATACTCTCTTTCTCCTTCTCCGATATAAACGGACACACACATGTACAAATAAAGTGTTGTCAGCACTGCTCTGCCAATTTTATCAGTAAAATAGTTTAGCAACTTAAAAGCTATCTTAGAAGAGTCTTTTTATGAAGTTCTGTGGTGTAGATTAGGTGTAGACCTGCATAGGTCTAATTAAAAGAAATAAAATGCACACAAAAGCTAATATTCACCTGTAGATCTCATTGACTGTGAGGAAGATGTGACAGTGATGGGCTGAAGCTCGAGGCTGGGGGGGAAAAGAACATTGCAAAGCATTAGGAACAATGCTTTTGTCATCTCCTCTCTCAACCGCTAGGGGGCAATGCTGTAATAATAATGAGGACCTGTTGGCATCTCCCACAGATCCTCTCCCATAATTCACTACTGCAAGTTTAACAGCCAAGTTTCTTACCAACAAAAACACATTGCTTTATTACACAGCAATATCATCTGTTTTAAATTCATGTGAAAGAGATTAAAAAATTACATCCAAGCAGCTGTACATGCATGTCTGGTGCAGCACGTAAACTTACATGCTCATATCTTAATGGAACAGGTTTCATTAATATACCCATATTTCATATGGGCAAAGAATGCCATAAAAAACATTTCACCTAGACCCAAAACATCAGTGCTCCAGAAAGCCCACATGTGCCTTTGCGGTCTTTGATCCTTAGAGCATTTGTCTTTGTTTGTGCTTGTGTGTGTGTAGACCACAGGGAGAAGCCTCATTATTCTCTCCTTCATTTGGGACCATTAAAACGTCTGCCCCGCCCAGCCCACAGGCACCCTCATCTCCCCTCTGCACACACACACACACACACGCACGATCCTCACACACTACCCCCTCCAAAGCCCCCCAAACCATCTCAGATATTCCCGTAACCTCAACTATTCAATGCTTGCCAAAAGCCGCCAATTTGCTGCTCCAATAAAAAGAGACGCATTTCAGCAACAAACATTAGATGGTATGATCCCCATCTCAGAAACAGAAGGCAGAGCGATAGAAACGAGAGAGAGAGAGATCATAGGATACATGGTTCACCAACTCAGCCAATTTCATAAAATCAATGAACGAAAATGTACAACAGCAATCACAAGCAATTCGCACAAGGATTCAAATGCGCCTGAACCTGAGATGTCGCTCTTCACCTGATCTTCATAAATAATCGATTCAGACACAATCATCTTAGGGCCTGTTTACACCTGATCGTGAAAAGACCTTGTGTAAAAGCCCTCTGAAAAGCTTTCGAGACGGATTTAAATCCGACCACTCAAACCACTTCAGTAGGTGGTCTGGAAGGCATTCAGATGAAACTGGACAAGTGTAAACGCATCTGGTTGTTGAAACCACATATGTAAATTTTACTCCTCCCAAAATGTTAAAAATAAAAACATGTGAGAGCATGTTATAGGCTATATGACATGTTATATTCAGATATTACAGCGCTAAATAATGAAACACGCATCGCCGGAGATGAGCCGAGTATCTCTTCAGCAAGCCGAACGCGCAAACTGCTGCAAATGCTGTCGCAGATGCTCAACACACAATCATCTTCATTAAAAGTAGTGAGATGAAATTATCTCTCTTCCATTCCATAAAATGCAGCGCATATCTGTTGCTTTCGTTGACGTGAACTCCGTTAAATTGGCATATAACGCGGGAACTGAGGATCGGATTTCTATCCGTTTTGCAGAGACACATTTGAGGGAATCGGATATGTGTGTTTAGACGTAGGTCGGACGTCCAGATATCGGTTATGTAACTGATTTAAAACCACATTTGGAAGTGGCTAAGATCGGATGCGAGTAAATCTGATCTCGTGCAGATTTTCGTTTTTACACGTGTGCAACAAATTCCGATCTGATCCATAGAATCATTTTATCAAATCATTTAGATATCCGATCACGAAAAAACCGCATTTAAAGGGGTCATATGATGCGATTTCAATTTTTCCTTTCTCTTTGAAGTGTTACAAGCTCTTGGTGCATAACAGGTGTAAACAGGCCCATTCCACTACCGTTCGAAAGTTTGGGGTCAGTAAGATGTTAGTATTGTGTCAAATTAATAGGCTACTTCTATTTAGCAAGGACGCATAAATTGATACGTGACAGTAAAGACATATTGTTCTAAACTATTTCTATTTCAAATGCATTCGTTTTTTGAACTTTCAATTCATCAAAGAATACTGAAAAAAATTGATCTATTTCAAGAAACAACTGTTTTCAACAAGTATAATAATAATTAAGTTTCTTGAGTAGTAAATCAGCATATTAGAATGATTTCTGAAGGATCATGTGACACTAGAGACTGGAGTAATGAAAATTCAGCTTTGCCATGCAGGAACAAATTATATTTTAAAATACATTAAAATAGAAAATGAGTTATTTTCTCAGTTAATTGTAGTAATGCTTCACAATATTGCTGCTTTTTCTGTATTATTAAGCTGGCCCCAAACTTTTTGATGGTAGTTGATTCCAGTTTCTCTCCAGTTCACAGGTGCCTTGCTGTCTGGGATCGAACCTGCAGGATTTGCATTTTTACCTAACCCTTTGGCAGCATGGAAAAACATTTATCTTTAAAGGGACAGTTTACCCCAAAATTAAAATTGTATGACTTTCTTTCTTTAGTGGGACAAAAAGGACAATTTTAAGAACTTCTGGGCTCCTATTTTCCATATAATGAAAGTGAAAGGGGACTGGAGCTGTCAAGAGCTACACTGGAGGGGAAGATAATCTTAAAACAAATGTTTTGCTCATCAGTGATCACACTAAATTTTTTATTTTTTTTTACTTCAGAAGACTTGGAATAGAAGCATTTATATTTTTATGACAATTTATGTTTTGCTTGACAGACCCAGTCCTTATTTACTTTTATTATATGGAAAAGAGGGCCCATGATATTCTTCATAAATTAACCTTATGCGTTTATGGAAGAAAGAAGTCATACAGTAAATAAATAAATAAAGTGCTTGGAACAACACAAGAATTAAGAAATGATCAATAATTTAAAAAAATACTTTTTAAAAAGTATAAAAAATCTCAAATAAGAGATGCCATGTGACATAAGCAGAGGCATAGGAAAGGGCTGTCTGCTTTTATTTTTTATGAAGGCTGAAGCTTTCTCTCCCTAGTGAAAACAGATGGGCTTTCCGAACACTCATCCATACCTTCTCCTAACACTTCAGGGAGGGTCAATTACAGCATGGCAAAAACATCCTCTTTCTGGCAGTGGGATGCTGGAAGATGCTGTTTATTGTTATTGGATCTAAGCTTCGAGGAAGGTGGATGAAAACAGAAATGTGAAACTAATTTCTGGTTACCCCTTTTTGATTGCGGTTTAAACAACTTGTTCCTGCAACGTAAACACACCGCAGAGTTCAATCTGCTCTCAAGCACAAACAAATAAGAGTTGAATGCAGCTGCATTTGGGCCTCATTTTACCTGTCTGTACTGCTCAGAAATGAGACACTAAACAGACCATAACGAGCCTCAAACATCAGCTACATGACGACTGAATGACGTCCTTATACAGACACATAAATGAGGTCTTGATTTTAAGTTTCTTCGTGTAGGTATGAAACAGCCTCATAAAGATGTGTATGGACCGTGGACCTGCTTCACGTCATGCTATTTGTGTCTGTTCTCAAAAAGAGGCCAGTGTATGAGAAAGCCGTTAATCTTCACCTGCTGTGTACCATATGAACAACAGACCATCAAATTCCTTCTTTACTACCATAGTTTTACTGTCAACACAGCAGCACCAAATTAATTAGCAACCGAAGCAAATATTATGACATGCAGTACTAGTTGCCATCAAACATAACAGTGTGAACTGTTGCTAATAAACAAGATGATGGTCTGTTGCTTTAAGGTGCTGATATATTTGTTTAAACAGTTTTTAAGAGTTATGGCTATTAATATTTTGGCAATATGCAATATGTGGGATCAAAAAGTCTGATACCACTAGTGAAAATGCTTTAGTCTTGCATTTTTATGATAAAAAAAGTTTTTCTTGTGAGCTATATTATTAGAAAAAGGTTCAAAAGTGAAAAGTTGAAAAAAAATGTTTTTAATGAATTTATTCACATCTTGTCCCTCTTTTTGCTTAAAGGGATTACAACTGTAATGTTCCCAGATCCAGAAACGTAGTAAGGACATCGATAAAACAGTCCATGTGACATCAGTGGCTCAACTTCAGTTTTGTGAAGCTGCAAGAATACTTTTTGAGCATAAAGAAAACAAAAATAACAATTTATTCAACAATTCTTCTCCCCCGAGTTACATCTTCTGCCTTTTTAGAGAGTATCACAATGCATACGCACGCTTTCTCCTAAGCATAAACAATGCTGATTACGAAGATTACGTTCATGCGCACGCTTGCCACCCGATCGTAAACAACGCCGATTACGCTCTTGGGTACTCTTCAAAATGGCGGAAGATGTAACTCGGGGGAGAAGAATTCTTAAATAAATTATGTTATAAATTATCATTTGTCATTTTTTCCCGAAAATGTCGATAATCATCTGTTACCTGACTGTTGACATCGACATCGCGATCCTTACGAGACATCGTCGATATACGATAATATCGCCATATCGCCCAGCCCTGTCACATGGACTGTTTTACCGATGTCCTTACTACATTTCTGGACCTTACAGTTGTATTGCTGTCTATGCAGGGTCTGAGAGCGCTCACATTCCATCAAAAATATCTTAATTTGTGTTCCGAAGATGAACGAAGGTCTTACGGGTTTGGAACAATGCCAGAATTTTCATTTTGGGGTGAACTAACCCTTTAAGAAAGAAAGAAAGAAAAAGAAAGAAAGAAAGAAATTTCATTTGAACACACGTTTATTTTCAGGTTTAAGTCATACATTTAAAATGGTCCCAATCTTTTGGAATCAATCTAAAAGAAAAACAGTTTTAAAATGTTAATATATAAGAAATCAAGCTTACCAGTAATGAGTCATTAACATGTTTGTCCAGACTCTGTGTCATTGTTTCATGGTCAGAGAGCACAGATTCCAGCAAGCTCACTGCTGCCCCCTCCAGACAGGTGGGACTATAACACCACAGGTTCACTATGGCCTCATCCTCCAACACAAGCCTCTTACTGCATAGGAGAGAAAGACAGAAATCACATAAACATAATCTGTGTGCTGTCATTAAATGCTGGTCACATCTGACAAGAGACAGTGTTGCATTGTAACGACACTCACCTGATCAAGGCCTCATTGATTTCCTTAATGAACTCTTGATTCAGACAGGAAGAGCCACACAACATGGAATGCTTCAACAGAGCTCCAATGAGAGGAGACATCTGAGGACATGTGACCAAGGCAACACATGCCGTTGCCATGGTATGAATATTCCCATTTAAACACCTCCAAAAAAATAAATACATAATAAAAATAAATAACTGAAGTGTGAGAGTGGATTATTTGTCACAAACAATTTCATAGTCCTGAATAATACTAACTGAACAAACTGTTTGAATGTCAGAGAAAATATATTTTTCAGGTGTAAGACACAAGCAAATTTATATGTATGTCCAGATGTTAAGGTTTAATTACCTGGCTGTGTTTGACGAGCCATCACAGCTTTTAATGACCTCCTCTGTCATCAATGACACCACCTGAAAGTGACAGCTTGACTTGACAACAGTTTACCTTTAACTTCATCAATTTAATGCAATTTAAAAATCGCTTCAAACTTTAACATGGTTTCAGTTTCTGATGTGTTTCGTCTATGAAGTCACATACGAGCAGCCAATTTCTCAGGTAAATGAGAGTAAAAAATACATTCAGGGCTGAGAGATATATCTAATATTTACAATGTATTCACAATGTTTTTGTTGGCAATGTAAGATTACATTGCGTACCATTTTAAAAAAGGATTTTATTTGTCCATTTCTCAACAGCACATTACTTGACTAGTTTTACAAACCCTTCTCGAATTTCAAATGTCAAATTAAACTTCAGAAGCAAAAATAGTTCATTTTCATGACTTTTGATGATTTCAAAATGTTTAATTTAATCACTTTTACGATTTGTTTGCATCATCACTCCATTTTTCATTTATAAACTAAACTTTTCACTGTATTTTACTCCTTGCAATATACTTGGCAATAGAGGCTCTTTAGTTGAAACAACAGTTCCTGTGATTGGGGGAAAGAAAATAGATGATATCGAAAATCATAGACTGAAAAAGAAGAATTCGTTCAGCTATATTGTCCAGCTTTTCTATCACACTAACCATGCCATTATTAGTTAACATGTCAAGATTCTGAACAGTGACTCCCAAACCTTCTGAAGAGCCTCCGAGTGGTATCGCTTCGGGGTTAATCCAGCATGTTTTACTGTAGCATGAGCTACACTTCCCTCCTCCTCCGAGATCAGATGACACAACAGATTCTGCTCGGAAGAGATACATAACATAAAACAATGCCGACAACAGCTTTTAAACACAACACCCTCCGTTTATGGTCACACACCATCAAACATCAATAACTGAATTTCTTTTGATTTGTGTATGATTGGACAACTATTTGCCCCATGTTGCACACAAATAATAAGATAAAGTAAAAAGGACAATGGAATCGGGTGGCAAGGCCTGTCTGTTTATAAAAAAGCACAAGGGTTAAGCCTTGACAGAAAACATGTCTGCATGCGGTGGGGCCATGTGGTTTCTTTAGGTTTACAGTATGCTAAGATGTCCTCCACAGACCCAAAGAGGCCCAATTACTACCATCTGAACAGCAAAAACACACTGCAGATCACACTTAACTCTAAGCTGGGCTGTGGCTACAGCGCAGGCCAATGAAACACAGCCTTTTTACATTCTCTCGTTTTTTTTCTCTACCTTGAGGTGGAAAAACATGGCATCTGTCATGATGATTTTTTTTTTTTGTTCTTCAAAGTGGTAATTTAGACCGTACTAAACCACATGGATGCCCAAGCTAAATCAAAACAACTTACAATATGCCTAAAATATTGCAAATATTGACTTTTCAGATGTGTTATGATCAAGGCATCACATGACTCTTGTAGCTTAAAGATCTTTAAACAAACAAGCAAACTACATATATTATTTAACTATTAATGCTAAAAATTGATTTGCACACCTCACAGATATGCCACATGATTTAAGTGTGTTCAGGTCCATTTTGAACTGAAAGAGATGAATAAAAAAAATTCTAAAATAGTTTTTAGTATGGGAACCATACTTTTGCGTGCTGATCCATTTTTTTTAAACTATGAAAGGGGTGTCAAACTCAATTCCTGGAGAGCCGGAGCCCTGCAGAGTTTTGTTCCAACCCTGCTCCAACACACATACCATGTAGTTTTCAAATAAGCCTGAAGGACTTGATTAGTTGGATCAGGTGTGCATAATTAGGGTTGAATCTAAACTCTGCAGGGCTCCGGCCCTCCAGGAATTGAGTTTGACACCCCTGATCTAGGAATTAGATAGGTCTCAAAATACATTAGTAAAATATATTTAGCTTCCTCCCATTTCACACACACACACACACACACACACACGGGATGAATTTTGTTGATAAACATGAACATCCATTGCCTTTTGATGAACCATTGCTGCGTGAAAAATTAATCATCTTTTTCAACTGAAAGTCAAAGTTCATGCAAGTAAAATGAATATATTTTGTTTGAAAACATCCCACAGTAATATTGATGTTTTGTTAGAAAATGAATATGTGAGTTTCATATATTTGGACTGTTTTTGAGCAGTCATGTGTTATAGGTTAAAAGTAATTTAAATCAGCGGAGTTCAATGTTAATACTGGTAATTGTCAGATTATATGTTATTATGAATTTCATATAACGATGTATTTATGAAGATTTAAAAAATAAAAGATTTTTCTTTATTTTGACATTTGAAATTTCAAGGAATATCTCAATTTTTTATTAATAAAAGAGTGTGGCAAACACAAAAATCTATGAAGATTTTAAATGTATTATGAGAGTTATGGAATTATTCATGTCGGTTGAGAGGTTTCGTGCTAAAGTATATTCCTTAGATTTAATCCTGGTTAGAGGCTTTAAGAAAAGAGAAAAAAAATTATTAAGACATGTCAAATGATAAAGTGATAGATATATTAAAGAGAAGGTCAGCCTAAAACAGTTCTCAAATGCGTCTGCAGAGGTAAATGTACAGTACTTAAAAAGACCACACAAGTATCCCAGAGGACTGCTTCCAGACCCCCAGGAGCCCTGAAGCCATCAGGCATGGTCTGGTCTCTCTGATGTGGAGAAAGAAAGTCAAGCTGGCGCGCTCCAGAGCAAAGGATCACAGAAGAATGGGCAACAGGCCCTTTAATGACAGACAAAACGTGTCTCCGTGGCTCTGCGGAAGCATTGTCATTCTTCTTGGTCTCTTCTTCTGGGGCCTGGGCTAAACCACCCACATGAAGAACACGACCAAGTTGGCTTTGTGAATGACAGGACCGTTTGTTTATTCATGACGAGCAACTAAAGGAATACAGTCCATCACTGCCGTTGAAGCTCTGAGGGGTCAGATGGAATCATCCCGGATGAACCTCATGTTGTAAAGCTTTGTAATACTCTGAGATCAGAGAGATTACATCTATAAACGCCTTGAAAGCTGGTCATTGTCATTAGCCTTTAAAGAGTTGGTCTAGTATGTGTTGTTTTTAGCTGGATTGTTTTGTTTTATGTATTGTATGTAGCTGTATGTTGATTGTACAGCACTTTGGTCTGCAGGTGCAGTTGTAAAGTGCTTTATAAATAAAAGGAATGAATGAATGTAACCCATGCTGATCGACATGAAGGCTTTCTCAGATGGGGGAGTCTTTCCATGTTGACAGTGACAGTAAACAGCGCTTGAAACAAACAATGATGGGGTAAATGGAAAAAAGCACGGTCCATTAAAACCGCAACAAACAAGAGAATGGAAAAATAAGAGATCAACTTTCTGGCAGAAGCAAGATGTCAGGCTGGGGAGGAGAAGAAAGAAATGAAATCAAACCAAATCAATTTGCTAAAACGCAACAAGAAAAAGACAGAAGACACTGGACCGTAATTAGTTACAGCAAGACAGAACGAATCAGAAAGTGATATGCCATTTAACAGAAAACATACTTCCAGATTAGCGTGATCAAACCTGAGGAATGGTACCATTGTTCAGTAGTTTTTATATGATAACTCAAATGGTACTTCAAACATCCAAAAAAGCATGGAATTATCATAGTATCATGGTGTAATTCTGACACAAATCAGCAGAAGGAGACTGACCAGTCTACCAAAAGACAAAAACAGCAAGCTTATGGACCTTCTATAGGTCAGACTCTTTTGGAAACAAAATGGATTGTCTTCCTCTTCCCATGTTTAAACTATTGAGTAAATACACACGTGCCTATAATCTATAACATCCTTGCACAAAGCAAGTCCTAATCTCTGTCTTTTGTTCCATATCTTTCCCCAACAAACCATACATACAAACACTGCTGCTGCACTAGGGATTGTTAGCTAAGCAAATAAATAATGTAAGATTAAACACCGTGTCTGAACCCCTGACAGAGAACCCACACCTCCCTCTGACTCCACTTCCCTTCGTATAGGTCAAAAAACATCTGGCAAATTAAAAGTTTACTTTAAAAGCTCTGCTTTAATTAGCGCTATGTTTTATTAGATGAAAAAAATAATCAAACGAATGCACACACGTTTGAATCTGGCAGAAATGCGAGGGGTTCTGTATTGCTTATGGTAAACCATCTGTGTGAACTCTGTAAAAAGTTGAAAGAGTACAATTATTTTAGTTTTTTTTTTTATCACCTTTCATCTCCCAATCCTGATTACATCTCTTTAAATATAAAAGTGTACACTGGGAATTTCTAAAACACTCTTGACAGTTTGAAAACGGTTTTAAGTAGGGGTCTGGAAGAGTACAGTATGACGTTTATTTGGTATACAAAAGGGCTCGGAAAATGTAAAGTATGTGCTTTAAAACTCTTATGAGTAAGATTTTATCATTTTAATGACAATTTTAATCAAATAATTAATGTTCCTGCTTCACACTTTAAACAACCAATATATTCCACATTTTTATTGTGTCTGTCAGGATATCAATTCATAATACTGCTTTGGCAATTTATTTATCTATTCAAAAAACTTGAGGGTTGGTAAAGAGGTGAAATGTTGCTGGCTTTACCTTGATCCACATGTTGGCTTTTAGTTCAACAGCATTCAGTGGCTCAGCACTGTACAGACAGCTCAAACACCGCAGCAGGAGTCTCTGGCTCCTCTCTGAGCATACATAAACAAGACCACAGAACAAAATGGCATTTATAAAATGTGAAAATGGCCACATTATTCATTTGTGACATGCATGCATTTATAATCAGGCACAAATGAGGTTAAACTCTGATATATCACAGTGAGATTCAAAATCTAACTTAAAACCTAGAGACAAAAGTTTTAGATCTTCGAACAACTGTAAGCAAAGAAACCATATGATGTAAAACAAAACAAAAAAAAATATTATATTCTGCACTATTTCAATGTCAGTAATCACATTAACACATTTGTGACACTGAGCATGTGATCTTGAATAAAAAGGCAGATTTCCTTGCTTCCAGTTAATTTTTCAGTGTAACACTTCACTCAAATTGTTATGCTGATAACAATTTATGACAAAAATATGTATACATTTTAATTTAATTTATAATATCATTTTTTAATAATAAAGATTGTAGTAAATAAACAGAAGCATTCTTGCTAGTCTCAGACTTTTGGACCCCACTGTATATAATGGACTAAAAAGTACAACATGAGCTATTGCAATAAATCACAACTTTTTAGAACCATTTTTAAGGCTGCATGTGAAGAACAGGTCTGATATGAAATTTCAGCGAAGGGAAGTGTTGATCAGACAAAGAGAGAGAGAAGTAGTGGAAGCGAGCCAAATAACAGAACAAATGCCCAGCAGGCCGCTACAGGGTTCATTGGAAAATTAGTGTAAATACACAGCCCATGCAGACACATTTCTTGGTCTCAAATGGGAAACACACCCCCGAGTTTAGAAGAGTCGTAAATTTACCATCCACAATAACACATGGGTTCCAACGAAGTCTTCCCAGGAACTGGCCCACAAAAGGAAACGTCTTCATGGCCTCACTAGTGGACCTCTGTTATACAGTAAACACAAACATACCTGAGACATCAATAGCAAAAACCAGCATCTGCATCATTAAAAAAAAATAGACTGCAATTGCACTAAACATTCATAGTTTCACAGTGCAGACTTAGTAATACAAGTGAATAATCCAATTAAACATTTGTGTTTGGCTTTTTTCCCATTTTGTCATTGCATAGTATAGAGAAACTGGGAAATGATGGGGAAAAGAGGGGTGAACAATACTGAAAAACATTGGATTCAAACTTACCTCACTTAAATTAGCACTAAAGCTTAATGTGCAGGAGGACATACCCTTAGTTGAAAACTTATTTTGATATTTTTTGTATTTTAACAACACTTTTCCAAATATACAGTCATTAGCACATAGATGGTTAATGACAATCCCATTTTTATAATTTTATAAATGCAAGCAACTTCTTTCTTCAGAATCAGAATAAATCTGGTGTTTCTGTGATGCTTCAACAACATGGATATAGATCATACAACAACAAAAAAAGTCAGGTGGCCGGATATGAAACACACCTGACATGGAGAGAGAAGCAAGAAAGAGAGAATTTTTCCAGTGATTAAACTCAGGCATACTGTCTGGCATTCCATGAAGATATGTCCTAGGACCCTTTTCATTTCCTCTGCAATTCCTTCTTCCCTAATGACAAAATCAGAACTGGATTCCTAAAGATCTACCTCCATCAGCGCACTTTACCCTCGTACACACATTTCATGTACAGTAAACTACTAAAATAGATGCCTCTTGTGCCACAATAGACAACTGCATTGTTTATATATATATTATATAATTTTTTTTTTTTTTTTTTTTTACTCTCCTGTCAGAACTATATTGCTTAGCATTTTCCCCATCAAAGTGAACTGTCAAAAGCAGATCCTGTCTCAACTCATAAGCTGTGGTCAAAATTTATTTCTTAAGTAATACTGACAGTCTAAGTAACAGAATGAATGTACGCCACTTGCAGAGTTAGCTGACATCACAAGTATGAACAATTAGATAATATGAAAAAAAAATCAATCATCATTCCCCAAAGAACTATTTGAGCCAAAAAAATAAACATCTGATGGCCTTTTATAAAATTATTCCCACGCAAACAGACAGAGAGAGTAACTGATCACTTCTATAAAGTCAGTTACGTAATTAATGAAAACCAGCGTGCTAATGGAAAGGCACGTTGAGGATCACAGCTTTTCGCATCAGTTCAAGATGTGCCCTGCCAATTTACTGTACACTGGAAGCCATACAAAGGATCTAAGCCTTTTTACATTCCATAGACACATACATTATTGGATGCTTAACGATTTCAGTGCACGCATGAAGAGAATGACACCATTCCTGTGGAACTTTAATACATCGAGTCTCACAAAAGGAAAAAGACCTTGTGGCAGCCAAAAAAATTATTAATACGAATACATAGCACACACTAAACTAATTATTTGTAGCTCTAGACCTCCCATTTGTAATCATAACATCTAATACAGGGTTTTTGTTTTTAACTTTTTGATGCCAGGAACCCCCAAATGGGATGAATCACTTTTCTAAGGACCCCATTTCTAAAATATAAAGGGAGCCCTACATTTTCATGTGCAGAAGCATATTATAAAGACAACGTTTTGATTGCAAAATTAAATAATTAATTTGTATATTGTTACTGTACTAAAGCCAAAACAAATGATCAAAATAGAAAATGATAATGAAAGTTGAAAATCTTTTCAAAATCATTTAATGCTTTTCAAACCTAATATTGCTCCAAATAAGTTTTACAGATTTGACAACCATAAAAAATTAATTATCTGCATAATCTGCATAGAAAACTTTTGCAGACATCTGGGGTCCCCAGACACCAGTTTAAACATTTTAATTAAAATTACATTTAATAATTTAAATTTTCATTACATTTTTGAATTTTAAATTATATCTAAAAATATATAAAACAAAAAAATCTAAATTTCCAATATCATTTTACATTAAATTGCAGTCTTTAAATAATTTTGCTATGCCATATCAAAATATCAATTTTAATGCAACTAATTATGCTGCCCTAATGTGGACCCTTGAAAAACGGTTTGAAAAGCCCATTCACATATGACCTCTCATAAATGTCATGACAAAGTCCAGGGGCCTGTACCATGAAGTACGGCTGGGCGATAAGGCCAAAAAAGTCATATCTCCGTATTTTTGGCTGAATTGCGATATACAATATATAGGCCTATCTCTGTATTTTCTACATTTTGCTATTTGGATGAAAAAACATCTGTATTCATTAAAAAAAAAAAAAGGTTGTCCAATGTTGTCCAATGAAGCAATGTTCATATTAAAAGCTATTAAAACAAATATAGTGAATGCAACCATGTAGCTATGCTATATAATAGCCTACAGTATATGCATAAAAAGGGTTAAAAACTAAAAAAAATAAAAATAAATAAAAAAGGCACACTAATTGTATTAGGTCATTTTGATTACCACATTACAGTTAGGCTACTGCTATCATAAGAATACACTTACTTGTAGGTTTAAAATTCTACATATGGCACATTTATTGTCCAACAAGAAATATTTTAGCAAAATGTATATTTTAGTCAGAATTATTGCAATCTTATTTCATTGCGCTCAGTCTGTTTGGCGCGCATACTCGTTCACTGAAGTCTGTCAAGTTTAACAGAGAATCGCATGCAGGAGGCTCATCCACTCCTGACAGGAAAATGGAAATATTTCCATGACTTTCTAACATTTACAGATGGAGAATATACATGTGAAATGTAAGTTATGCGCTGAGGAAAACATCACATCTCAAACGCATTAAACAGCACACGTAGCCTTTCTGTCAGCAGCACATGCGACTGTCAGAGCATCTGTAATTCTGAGTTTGTTCAGCCACCATCATGGTACAGGCCCCAGCTCCAGCTCCAGCACAGGGGTACGAACAGCTTTGTCATTGCGTGTACCATCCCAGAGATGTCTTCTCATGGGAGTTAAAGGGCATAAAGTCTAATGTACACATTCACAAGTCTGCAAATACTGAATGTGCTCACACACACATGCATCTCTCAGTCTCCCTCGAGCACGGGCGCATCGCCAGCAGGCACCCAACTGTGCCAGGCTTAGGAAGAAAACCGTTTACAGGACCGTGAAACCTCCCCTTTCCAGCAGTAGCAAAAGCAGGGAGTGGGAAAACTGGTTCTGATGGAATGCAAATGAGGAAATTGATATAAATGAGACATTTCTTCATCCCCAGACGCGAGCTACGTCCTTAACTCATTCAAGTGCTGCTGTTCAGATCCGCTTCATTCAGGCTGTTTTATGAGGCTATGCCGGGAATAAGAGTTTAGGGCCAATTAAGAAATCCTGATCCCTTCACGTTGCTGAATGCTGTCAGAGGGGCTGACGCATGCAGAATGTGATGGAAACGGAAGGCGTGATTGTATTTTGCCAGGGTGGCCATTGTAAGTTGAAATATGAAAGCCTACAAGACTTTGTTTTCTTTTCTGACACACCAGGCACCAAGCAGCATGGTGTGCAGGGCCAACGGGAGATCTGCTGGTGCGAAAGGCCGCTGTGAGATGAATAAAGACCTTCTTTCAAGGTAAGGAGAGTCAGTGGGAGGCAGAATTTTTCTGAACACTGGTCCTTCAGAGTCGTCCTAACCCATGCTACCTCGTCCAAATTTGCAACACTTGATGCAGGGATACATTAGGTTAACGCTGGCAGTCCCTGGGTGGCTATTAGCCCACTAAATCATCACCACGACTGTGCCAATGTCCTGCCTTCATCCGCACAGAGCAGCTTCTGTTAGGGGTGCTAAAAGAGTTAGTTAAAGCACTACGACTTTAATTTTAATGGTGATTTTATGAAATCTGCAGTAGAGATGTGCAAAACTACACATTTTCAAACTTGACTAACGTTAAGTTCTCAGTTACTGTGAGACTTTTAGCATGTTAAAGCACAGCATGCTGTCAGCATACTAAAACTCTCTCCAAAAAGTTGCATCTCTTAATTTATGTAAGCACCACAGTTAAAAACTATTACAGGGCTCAATAATAAGGATGGCCCACTGGTTCAAGGCCAGTGTGAGAGCCAATGATCATGCCAGTTGATCATGTAAATTTATTTTTATGCCTTTATTTTATTTATGCAAACTTAAGTATTTGGTTGACAAATGGTTGTGAATTCTGATTATTTAAACTTGCCTGCTAGTTTAAATCAGATTAAAAATGATAATACAATCAGTAATATTTTGCTATGCATGCCATCATGTTCAAGAGATGAATTTATGCTGTTTCTTGTACAGTTTCCAGCTAAAAAAGGGGTTGGGGGTGCATTATATTATATATTTATATTATATTATATTATTTAAATGCAATTATATAAATGCAAACATAAAATTAATTTAAATGAATAAAATGTGTATTATGGGTTCAAAGAAAACGTGTATTGTTAAATATATATTATATATATTTATATATAATTTAAAATCTTAACGCAGTTGACCTCACTAATCAGTTAGTTGGATGACTAGTAGACCATCCTGCCCATACCTGCTCTGTAGATAATGTAAACTCTAATGCAACATATTCCCTGGTAAAGAATTGAGAATATTGTTATGCAGAACCACATTATAGATCAACAATTGTTTATTGGATCCTAACATTTAACAAAACAGCTATAGGGATCAACTGTGGCCTTTGTAATGTTTCACAAAACTCCAGACAAAAAGTACTGCTTGAAGTATAAAGCTGTATGTTGACATTTTTCATACCATTTGCTGCAACCCCTGCAGAACTTGCTGGAGAAAGCTCCTCAGAGAGCCAAGGTGTCTGCTTGTGTCCAGAAGAGCAGAACATGACGTATCTTCCCCCCAGTTCATGGCTTTGGCCATCCAGAACTGCACATCTGTGTCAGAAACAGCCTCCATTTTCTCAAGTCTGCGAGGACACACAAATAAAAGCAACCACAGGTAAAACAAGGCTTTTTGGGAGTGAACTACTCCTTTCAAGGCCAGCAGATCTACATATGTGGAGTGGACCCTGCATCATTTCTTAACTTCAAAAGTGTGTTTCTCATTCCAGAAAGAGTAGGAGAGTTAAGACCATAATAATGATGCCTTTTGTACAGAGTCTGAAATGACAGGGGTTGTAATCAGGAAATGGGGAGTTGAAAATGTGTTACCCAATTGAGGGCTCTTAATTTGTCATCAGCCTGTATTTCATGAGCCGGCAAGTTTGAAAAAGGGGGAAAAAAGATAAAAGCGGCACTGGGTAGTGCAATAAAGTCTTCGTGGACTCATTTTAAACTTCCAGAACGCTCTTAACTCAGCACTGAAGTATTTTTGACAAATAAACAAAACCGAACAAGGCTTAAACCATCAATGGGGACACATCCTCATCGGTGTCCTGCTGGGAGGTGAGGTTCTCACACCGTGACCACGGCGTAATGGAGTAGAAAAGGCGTTCAGACAGCTTGTGTCTGCAGGAGCAGGAGTTTGTGGGTAATTGTTGTTCTTAGTCTTAATGACAGGTCTGTGAAAGACACAACAAGGGAGTGTTTTTATGATTTGCTCGTAACAGAGGAGTTGTTTAATGTCTTGCCATCACCCCTGCTGGAAAAATCCCTTGGGTGAAACAATGTAAATATATAATTAGACTTCCTTTCCTTTTTTCATCAAACCAAACTATGAACAAACGCTTCTTGTTGACATCATCCCCGCACAGCTTTCACCAGTCCTCCAGGGGACACAGCCGCCTGGCCAATAAACTGCCTCGGCAATAATTTCCAACACAGAATACTAGTAGAGTGCTAGCTGAATTTGTGCAAGTGTCAAATTATTTGGGCTATGTTATGCACTGGAGAGTGTCAACATTGATGCGTACCTACCAACACATACTAATGTCCTGACTGTATGCCAAATAGAAAAAAAAACATTGCTGGTAGGTCATAATTGCACAAATTAACACACCCTCTACAATAAAAAAAAAAAAATAGAAGAGTTCTAAACTAACGTGCTGTCTTCACTGTATCTAACGCACACTCTCAAGGCTGAGTGACTACAAATGTAAAATTAGGCTCTTGACAAGCAACATTCAAGAGCAGAGTCAAACAGGTTGGCCTTTCAATTGGTTGATTTAGTTTGGCTAGCTGGTTTAAAGTAAAAATGTCTGTTCAGACCGCTGTTACTGAAGCTTCATTTACCATGGTGTTAATAGTTTTGACATTTTCAGCTGGAGGGCAAGCACATTATTACACTCCACTCAACAATCTGTCATCATCCTGGAGTTCAAATCATCTCAGAAATCTGAGAAGGCCTAATAATAAACTCTGTACAGATCATTTCATCTTGATTCTATGTGATGTCCAATCTTTCAGAGTCCTGATACTGTCCAAATCTCTATTTGTATTTTCATGAATTCTTATGTAATGGCACTACACTCTTAAAAATATATATATTTTTTTTTATTGGCATCTATAGTTCCATGATTCCGTAACCTTTAACATCCATAGAACCTTAGTTGCCACTGGATAAAAATGTTTTTTACCCACCTTATTTTGCAACACGAAATTAAGCTATTTTTTGAGAATATGAATTCAAGTTAAAAATGACCACTTCCACTCTTGTGTTAAAAATAAGGTGGATAATGTAAAAACATAATTTTTTAGATTATTTAAATGTTCTCCACACTAAGAAAAATGTGGTTCTTTTAGAAACTGTTCACTGAAAGGTTCTTTGGAGAACCTAAAATGGTTCTTCTATGGCAATGCTGTGAAAACCTCCTTTTGGAATTTTTATTTTCAAATATGTAGGTGTCGCATATTAAATTTTACTTACAAAGAGTATCTGATCTTATGCTGATATAGTAAGTTGTGATGAAACGGAAGTAGTGACGGATCTTTTCTTCCTTATTACGTTCAAGTGTAACAGATTATTGAAAAAGAAAAAACTGTAGGCATCTACCCATGTCACTAACACAATAAATATAAAACATGTTTATCTTTTTGATCTTTCATTCAAAAAATTCACAAAATTCTAACCTTTCAAGTAAAACAATTGAAATTGGGGGGAAACTCACATTATGAAATAAATGTTTTTCACCAATGCATGTTGGCCACAATTACTGGCACCCCTAGAAATTCTTATGAGTAAAATATCTCTGAAGTATATTCACATTCATATTTAATTTATTTTAGCACACCAGGGTGACTAGGAGCATTAAAATTCTCCAGCCATGACTTCCTGTTCCACGGGATTATAAATATGAGGAACACAAAGGCCAAATTGCCTTAATCATACATCACAAAGAGTAAAACCAAAGAATACAGTTCTGATGTGCAGAACAAGGTTGTTGAGCTTCACAAAATAGAAAGTGGCAGTAAGAAAATAGCTAAAGCATTGAAAATCTCCATTTCCACCTTCAGGGCAATAATTAAGAAGTTCCAATCAACTAAAGATATTGCAAATCTGCCGAGGACATGCATGTGTCTATATCGTCAATGCACGGTGAGGAGGAGAGTTTGAGTGGCTAAAGGCTCTCCGATGATTACAGCTGGAGAATTGCAGAGATTAGTTCAAACAGCCCCTACATCAGCACATGTTGTTCGGGAAGGTTTCAAGAAAAATTCTCTTCGCTCATCCAAAAACAAACTCCAGCATATTCAGTCTTCAGACACGATTGGAACTTCGAACAGGACTGGCTTCTATGGTCAGATGAAACTAAAAAAAAGAGCTTTCTGGCAGCAAACCCACCAGATGCGTTTGGTGCAAACAGGGATAAAAAGTACCCCATGTCCAAGGTTAAATATACTGCTGGATCTTTAATGTTGTGGGCCTATTTTTCTGCCGGAGGTCCTGGACATCTTGTTCAGATATTGGCATCATGGATTCTATCAAATACCAACAGATAAAAAATCTAAACCTGACTGCCTCTGTTAGAAATCTTATAATGG